AAGGTATTACGTCATTCGATAGATAAACTCTGACACTTTCTTCTTCAGACACAAATTGTTTGATACTTTCTTTTCCTTTATACTGCCAATACAATTTCGAATACTTCGCACAATGGTCAAAAAAAGGAAACATAACACTAAGACAATAAACAATAATACATACATGTTTTTATTCCATCTGTCCACGTTTTTATCAAGGAAATACAAGACCTTCAATCCTAAATGAGGATATTTTTACATAAATCATAGACCTACACAGATCTGTAGTAATGTAATACTATGTTGTAATTATTGTATATGGAATATTTGTCTCAAAAAGTGGCTCCAAATAGGCAATGCTTTCCTGAAATAATTTAGTTTAGGCGTTGCTCTGCCATAATGTCAGTAGCTTTCGTCCAACTATGCCTGGCTTTCCGAAATGGTTGGGGGCGCTTCCTACTATAAAATTTCGTGAGGAAAATTATCCAAAATTAGCTCGCTTTTCAGCTCCTAGCCTCCAAGGAAGATCAAACTCCTGGCCTTTGGTTTCCTAGACCAACGCTCTAGTCACTGAGTTATGGAAGCCTTAAGATTGTTGTTTGTTGTTTTATCTATGCGTTTTTTCGCAACTTTGTTCCAAAAGCACAGTCAGATCAGTATGGCAATTCAGCACGGTCTGTTTCACAGGCTGCCCTAATTTTGCATTGCTAAGTTTACTATACTGCTTATATGGCGTTTACTCTTGACACTGATAGCATAGTATAGTTCAGCCAAGGCATACGGACAGGTGAAGCGTGACGCAATTGTGACATCGACAAATCTACTTCTCCTTTCTCACCTCCCTTTTGCTTCCTTGTTCACTCTAATTAAGAAGGGTTATATGCAAAAGTATCCTGCTAAACCTTCGTATTTTCTTCACATTTTTTTTTTCTTTCAAATATGATTATAATCATATATATATATATATATATATATATATATATATATAATATATATATATATATATATATAAATTTCAGTATCAGAGGCAGACTTCCTCTTTGTACAAGCCTCCATAGCTCAGTGGCTAGAGCGCTGGTCTAGTAAACCAGAGGCCAGGAGTTCGATTCTCCTTGGAGGCATCACAATGATAAGCAAAAGTAATATAACAACATTTTATCTGTTTTGCTCTTGCTTCATACTAACACCAAAAAGGGGATCTTTCACATATTCAAATGTACGGTGTTTTCTTTGTAAGAGAAACACTACCATACTCTTTCTGCATGATAATGACTTGTTAACTAATGCTTAGTGTGATTTACCGTATATATAGTTCATGTTAAGGGGTTACTCCATTCAACCAGGATATATTGGAGGCCACAACCCTCTCAGCACCCAGCCATAGCAGTGAGGGCTCACACCCACTCCAATCACTCCCTAAAGAGTTACAGACTGGTTATGTAGTAGATGCACCCCGTCTACTAAAATGGTACTCGTTGAGAAAGAAACTGAAGCAACTTGCATGAAAAACATGTGTATCTCAATACCTCATGTCATAAAATATTTTGACAAACGATTACAGAATTCAATCCAGTGTTCAAAATAGATTAATCAAGTAAAAACACAAAATCAAAACCTTGATTTTACACATTTCCATGAATAGCCCTATACATATTGAGTTGAACTGCACAAGTTACCAGCTTTGTGTATGGCACAATTTGTTTACCACGTACCTATTTGCCCTAACATTCGTATAAATTTCAAAGCATCAGAAGAAAAATGTTGGATATTGTACAAAATGTAAACATAAACATGTACTATTCTAAAAATAGCCCGGCCTGGTATCCTACACATTACATAAAATACATTTCATTTATTCACTGAGTGTATGGAGGTATTAATAAATGTAGGTATACTTAATTCCTTCAAGCTGACTCCCACTGCAATTCCACTTGAGAATCATTCATGCATAAATATAATCACCCACACTCCTCATCCACAGGGATATTTTGATGATTGTTTAATAAAAATATAACCATTGAAATCATTATTTCCCATACTCTTTGGAAATTGAAAAGACCAAAATGATCGACCATATTCACAAAGCATTCGTAACTTTTGAGACATCAAAATCAGACGCCATGACCCCTCGAGTTGCTACTGATCTAACCTTCCCCATGAATTCTCTGTACAGAGGAAGGCAAGGACTTGTCTGAATCTTCATAAATCAATACAAAGGGACTTAACAATTACGTTAATACAATTATCAGGCATTACCATCTATAATATCGAGGTAAAACACGACTTGAAATACAAGCATTTAACATACATCTGGACGGGAGGAAGGCAAGGATTTGTCTGACAGAAATCGAAAATGACGAACTTATTGCTTTCCCCCAAATGAATATTTAACATTTAAACAAACAAACCATTTATAAATGATTATCATAATCTATTCTATTTGTTGTAATACTAAATTTTGCCATATCGATAAGCCTTTAGAAACATTAAAATATGTAAACAAATGTTTCTTTGACGTGTGTACATCTATGAAATTCGAACCAACATACCTTTTTAAATGTCGAATAAATAACGATCTCGATATATAATATATATATATATATATATATATATATATATATATATATATATATATGGTTGTATTTAATAGTAAGACTAGCTTGGAATGATAATTGATTTATCAAATGTTACAATATAATAATTAGACAGGCTATTTTTCTGAAATATATTTCAACCCACTGTATAAATTGCGCACAGGCTTAGGAAGGTATTTTGAAGGGGGGGAGGATATTAGGTTCCTAAAAAAGATATAAAAGCTGTAGGCCCTTTGCGATCAGCAGCACGCCCCGGTATGGGAATAGGGGCGAGTCCCCGGAAGCTCCTGGATTTTAGTAGTTTTAAAGAGATAAACATTTATTTCGATATTTAACATTATGGTTATTTCATTTCGAACAGCAGACTCGGCTGTAGCTGCCCTCTCAGTTGCAAAGGATCATCATTCTCAACAAATGGGTAATCAAGAAATTGCAGTTTGTTTATTTACACATCCTCAAGAAATTGGGTCCTGCCCACCCCACTTTAGAGTGGCGGAGGCGGTCGCACCCTGCCCCCCCCCCTTTTCAGCGTCTATGACTGGCATACAATAGTTGAGCTCCGAATCTGTCTTACATATACAAACCGTGTGAGTTCGAAACGAAATTCGAAACACAAAAGTTGAGGAGAGGGTGGGAAGAAACACATAAATTTTGACCGCGACACATACATTCACACACTACTAGGGTATGACAGTGCATTGTAAATTAAACCATCAATCATGAAAGGGAATGAACAGCAACAATTTTCTTCATTTGAACAACGCTAAACGTAATCGAATGGAAACATCCTACGTCTACAGATATCTGTTGGCCAGGAATTTTTACACAACTGGAGACCGGTTCGAGATTCTGATGTGTTATGACAAGTGCATCGGTTACATATGACAGTTTTCTTTTCTACGACTCTGAAGTAATATTGACAACCTTAAATAATCATGAGAAATGTGTTGACAATAGCTATAATTTTCTGCTCCTGCTTTGTATACCATATCATATTCATGGAATTCTTTTTAGTCAACTCAGGTGTGAGGACGAGCTCGCAAAATCAAGATAAATTAACCCCTTTTTTGAAGCAAAGACTTATACGTACTGTTAGATGTTCTTTGTTTTGAAGGCAAATGGTTCGGCTAGGTTCGGTTAGGTTTGTTTGCTTCACGTCTGTGTTTTCGTTCCGTTTTGTAGTTGTCCACGTAGTGTATTTTGAAGAGTGCGAATAACACATAGTGACAAACGTGAACTTAGGTGAATATTACCTGAGTGACTAGATTCGAAATCATAATTATCAGTGCAAGTACAAAAAAAAAATGAAATTAGGAATATCAATCCTAATGTTTACGTCACAATTAATGGCTGCGATTAAAATGATTCATAATAGTCAATAAATGCAATTTGTCCAGTAAGTTAAGTTAGTTTACCAAGGGAAGATCATGCATAGATAACTTTATTCTCTCCCTCAGTACAAAGAAGATAATAATGCATAACAACAATGATAAACCAATTCCATTTTTTTCTCCGTGGCTTTAGTGACGTCATGTTTCCTGTCCATTGGTCTGCTGAATATCCGGAGATAATAATCTTCACGTGAACTCTTACAGTTAACCTTGCGCGTGAATACTAATGCTTGCGTGACAATAGTGAAGCAGAAAATGGAGACGGCCGAAAACAGATGAAGCACGCGTACAGTGAGTGTGTGTGTGTGTGTGTGTGTGAGAGAGAGAGAGAGAGAGAGGGGGGGGGCAGAGAGTATGTGAGTGTTTTTGTGCGTGTTTGTGCGTGAGTGTAAGCCTGAGAGTGTGTGAGAGTATGCGTGAGGATATGTGAGTGTTAGTGCAGTCTGCTTAATCTATATCATATTAAAATATATATGTTATTGTTTTTCTGTGCATTTATTGTCAATATGCATGCATGCACAAATGCATACAGACATACATACAGACATACACGTACATGTATATATACGAAAATATGTATGTATGTATATATGTGTGTATATGTGTAATTGTGTATGTACGCATGTCCATTGCTATACCTGCTTATTCATCTTTTCCTGCCACACTAGGCATACCAGTGTCATGATACCTTCCTCCTTCCGTAAGAACTATATATTGCTGTAACACTTCCTCCGCGATTGTTAAGTAAATAATGGGTGAATCAAAGCTAACCTTAGACTCCTGTACAAGATGATAGACAGACTCCCTGTGGTGAGCCAAGGAGCAGCCATCTTTGCTCTTCAACAAAGGTATCAAGATGTTTTGTCTGACTTACACCCTAAGCTTACCTTTCACCATTACTCTCTTGGGTCCCTTCACCCGAGCTCTTACGGCTTTTGTGTGTGTGTGCGTGCGTGTGTGTGTGTGTGTGTGTGTGTGTGTGTGTTGTGTGTGTGTGTGTGTGTGTGTGTGTGTGTGTGTGTGTGTGTGTCTGTCCTGTCTTCCTTATAAGCTGTCTTGTTCATAATGTTCTTCCTATTCAGTATTGATACTCAGAGAACGAAAGAAATCGACCCCAAACATTTACTCTCATGACGTAAGCGAAAACGATACAACTTGACCTCTCGCCATTTACTTCCTGGAAAAAGAAAAGGATGTGAGTCACCAATACAGAACATATCGGTCAGAGATGATACATTATCTTGTACAGTTGTTTCGATTTCACTGTGAACGTGACCCTAGCGAAAGCACGGGTTGTACTCGGACAATGACGTCACAGCCACGCCACTTCCTCTCGTCTACTCGGTCGCCAACTTACAAAATAATTAAATTGTCTTCAGTAAAGAGGTATGTTCTGGTTTTTGAGAAGACTTTAGTAATAACTTTGTGCTTCGTTTATCTTTATTAAATGTAGAAAGTTGTCGAATTCCGCATGAAAGTTTAAAATGGTGAATTTGCGCGTTTATATTTGGTTGTTATCTCCAGCGTTACCAATGCCCAGGCGGGCGCGCCGGCGTGGCCACTCAGGTTTGGTGTGTCTCGTGCTGTTATTCTTTTCAAAAGGATTCTTATCTCTCTCCATTGTCAACATTCTTTGGGTCAGCTTTATGCCTACTTTAGATAACTGATTAAAACACCTCTTCTTTTGCAAAACACAGCTTTTTCATATACATATATACGCACAATCTTACGAAAACACCAAAATTTAAGTTTCACTCGCTACATATAATCTTATCATCCTCAAAGGTTTCGTCGTCGCTAAAATGCGAGAAGGAAGAGATAGTAACGGTCATACCCCGATAGCGCGATTTTCTTATCAGCTCATAGACATTTAACAAGAATTTGAAGCTTGTCAGTCAGGTACCGCAGACAAGATCTATATCAGTGAACCACGTGTGACCTCTTGTGTATTTATCACAAGTATGGATTTGTATGTTTGTTAAAATCATCCATCTTGTAAATCGTTTATATTTACAGTATATTGAGATCAGCACATTCCTTATCATTTCGTATGTGTTGGTAAAAGTTATTTTTCTGTAGATGTTAATTGTGGGATTTTTAATTGTTAACCGCTAACTATGTAGGCCAATGTTTTTGTTTTGCAGTTCAAAGTGATCCAATTGAGTGATGTGAAATGTAATGTGTGTGTGTGTGTGTGTGTGTGTGAAATGGTTGTATTTTGTGCTGAGAAGAAAACGCTAATAAACTCCATGACTGCTAACGATTATGACACTACTGTGCAAAAAAGATATGCTCTTGAAACCTATAGCTGTGTGTGTGTGTGTGTGTGTGTGTGTGTGTGTGTGTGTGTGTGTGTGTTTGTATGTGTGCGTGCGTGTGTGCATTTATAGGTGGAAGGGGGGGGAGGCGTGTGCATACAGGTGTGTGTTGTGTGGGGGGGGGTTGCGTGCATGCATGCGTGTGTGTGTGCGTGCGTGCGTGTGGTGTGTGTGTGTGTGTGTGTGTGTGTGTGTGTGTGTGTGTGTGTGTGTGTGTGTGTGTGTGTGTGTGTGTGTGTGTGTGTGTGTGTGTGTGTGTGTGTGTGTGTGTGTGTGTGTGTGTGTGTGTGTGTGTGTGTAAAGTTTTGCATATAACAGATTTTAAAAAAATGAAACGCTATGTAAAAACAGACAAATCCAAGTCTGAATGAAATCAAAAGCAAAATCTAGCCCTACATCATACTGAAGACAAAATATAAATCTCAATCAAATTAAAATTAAAATAAAAACGAAATCCTGTACGATAACTGTCGGCATTCACACGACGCGTGAATCCGCCGCGTTCTCCTATCTGGTAAACACAAATCAGCTGATCACAGAGTTAGCAACAGTGTGGGTCACATGCCTGTGGAGGTCGGTTTGTTTTGTGGGATTAGGTTTTATTATTTTTAAAATGTTTGTTTAGTGTGTTTTGATAATGGTTTTAAGTTACGTTGATTAGAGTTAGGGATGTGTTTTGATCGTCCTTGTGATAAGACATGGAGAAAAGGTTAGAGGGCCTCTTTCACTCGTGCAAAAAACACAATAGAAAGTAAAAGTGTTATGAATGTTTTCTTTTTCGTGATATTTGTAGCCTTTCTTGTGCATTTCTGAAAGTAAGAATAAAAGTGGAAGTCGAGGTTATTTTGCTTTTTAAAAAAATCGAAAATATCGGTGTGAAATGCGACAAAACTCATACCCATTGATACCCGCTGGTTATTCCACGCTGACACGTTGCCTGCGGTTCCAGTTACAGAACCCATGTCATGTTTCGACAGCCGTCAGAAGGGTTAGGTTTTCGTTAGTCTTTGTGTAAGTGCGATGATATGGAACAATATAAGAGACCCCATTCATTCAGTGAATATATTTTCCGTGAAGGTTACATAGGTTATACCTATTGGAAAACTGGTAATTATAGGTTATGCTAGCTGTTGGTTTTCCTACTGCTTTGTATATTTAACCAAATGCTGCTGGGAAAATGTGATATTCATTGTTTTGTTTTGTTTATTTTGTGTGTGTGTGTGTGTGTGTATCTACACATAGATGGTGCTACAAGTGCTCAGGTACCTAGGATCCTGCTTGACCTCACCTGGTATAACCTTTCCTGGAGTTATGGGGATCTTTTTTTCTTTTTTTTATAATTTTATTGTCAATGCTGTTTCTATTATTACTGACATTACAAATGATAATGTGTTATTGATACTACTAAAAGTAATATAAGATAAAATAAAATATTTTTAAAAATCAAGGAAAAGGCTAAACAGGTGAGATAGGTAGGATCCGCAATTGACTCCTTAGTGACTAACCACTAGTGGAACAAATTGTGTAGATACAGTTGATAAACTAAATTCACAGTGAGCTTGGCATGTATGTGTGTGCCATTTTCAGCAGCACTGGGTCAAATAGTCATATCCTTTTTAAAGCAGAAGACAATAGGTACTTCTTGTAAGTATATGGAAAGTGAAACTGTTATAATAGAATAGGTTTACAGAAAAATATTAACATCTGTCATAGTAACATGATCTAGTTGTAAGCATTGTAATTTATTTGAGGAGAGCTTGATAAACTTGTGAGCAGAAAGTGGATTTGATAGATGTGTACGTCATTTCATTTGTATATGTAAAAATAATGGTATTTCATATGTTGATAACAGCCAGTTACGTGTTGTGTTACATTTTAAATTACCAATTGATTACATTTTGTTCAAATTTTGTGTGCTGGTGTGCTTCAAATAATCAGATCCATCTGTAGTGATGCAGATACCAGGTTTCACTAGTGAGTGATGGCATGATGTGTGTCTAGGCATATTAGCTGTATGTGATAGATGCTGGGGCTGTGATCCCTAAATTTTTATGTCCTATCTGCCAGTAAGCAAAGCGACGGAGTCCTTTGGATTGATGAAGCAGGATTACATTCCTATAGAAATTATTTATTAATTTCTGCCCCCCAACACCCCTTGGGAAACATGGCAAGATAGAGTTGAAAATCAGGAGTGATACATATATTCATCCTTAAATTATCAACCTCTTCTCTAATCTAAGTTAAAGTTATTTCTTGTGTGCTGAAGCTTAGAAAAAAGAATTTTTGATCACCTAAGGTATACGTTAAGATTTGCTATTAATCATTCTAGCGTGCTACTAGAGAAAAATTATGTTTCTAACACACCTCTTTTCTTTAGGTGTAACATTCAAAAACCACCATGGAAAACGGTGAAATAAACATAGTGGTGGAAGAACCTAGGGAGGAGGAGGAGGGAGAGGGAAAGAACGAGGCAACAAATGAAGAAACAGAAGAGGAACAAGGGATAGAACCAAGAGAACGGGAAATTTCCCAGCTTAGTCCCAGAGACAGAAACACTTTGTCTTCATCACCGCATAGTTTTAATGAACGCACTCCTCTCTTGGGTGTGTCAGCTCCTCAGGGAGGGTAATGTCTAAATTTTATTTTTTTTTCATTAATATTTTCGGCTCGGATGTCTATCTGTAATTACATACCCAAACTAAAGTTTATTAGTATCCTTTTTTTTGCATATTAGTTATTAGTAATCTGTACTAGGAGATTATAAGATGTTTGTGCTCAGATAATTAATAATAGTAATCATAACAATAATGATAATGATAATAACTATAATACTAATATGAAATGTTAATCCTCTTTTACTGTACATCAAAGAAACTGAAAATATCTTTAGAGATAGAATGGTATGTTTGATATTATTTCCATATGTTTCTTCTCAGATTGTACTCAAGCTCATGGTCCACAACTGTTGGACCTTCTCCATATACTTCTGACAACAAACCAAAGAGGCAAGTAAAGTCGTCATGAATGGATTTGATCTCTTGGGGGCAGGGGAAAGTGCTTTTAATTCTTCTAATTTTTTTGTTTTAGTTTATTTTTTGTTATATCAGTATGCTTGATTAAGATTTTCATTTCAGACGACCATTTCATCGCCCATCCGTAGGAAGTATGGCCAGTGAGGTAACCAGTCCTGAACGGAGAGAGAGCGAAAACTTAGATAGACAACTATATACTCGTTACCGTTATTACTCACGGTTAAGAGCTTCAGTCCAAGCGAGTGAACATGCCTTGGTAATATGTTGTTGTTTGTTTGTTTGTTTTTATAAGGAATTTTTTGCTTCTATGATGTTCTCTTTATTTTCTATATTTTCATACACTGATTTGTGTATGGTTAGATATTCTGCATGAAAGTAAAATCCTGTTTTTATTTATTTGTTTGAATGTATATTTATTTATTTGCCTTTAAATTTATTTATTTATTTATATTTTGAGGTGTAAGGCATACCCACTAATCTCAAGATTTAGATATGAGTTGGCAAGGAATACAGTAAGGCTAGATTGTAAAGAGTAGCAATAATTAAAGATGAGAAAGTGCTGTTAGAGTGCTAATTAGGCTCTTCACAAGGTAAAGCACAATATATGAGCTTCTTGCTGGATAGCATCTATTCTTCTTGACCAGACATAGCACCAAGCCCATATGCCAGATGGGATATGGGCATGGTCAGCTGATGTGTTATGGATGCTAAACAATTGCTCCCTTGTTTGGCCCTGTCTGTCAACAGTAAGGAGTTACAGGCATCCAAATTATGCATAAACTCGATTTATATTTTCCCATTGAAAGATCTTTGGCTGCATTCTGTAGCCAAAATTGTAGACTTCAGGTAAAACAAGTGTTTCCTGTAATTTGTTACTCAGGTGTTATGTGCATGATTTGTGGCACAGGTAAAAGCCATTGTCATAGAGTGAAGATGCTGCACTGAATAGACATATCAGGTTTATGTTTGAAGAATAATTTTGTGAGTAGTTTAGATTAAATACTAGTGAATAGTGCTATGATATATCCACTGAAAAACAAGAGAGAGATATGCCACTGTAAATTATCTCATATATATTTAAAACTACCCCTAAATTGATGTAACTTTTCATATCCAGGAAGAAATGAAACAATGACACTAGAAATGATATTGAAATCAATGAAGGACTTGCTAACTTTTTTTGTGTGTGTGGTGAGAGTACCAGTTTTTGATAAGCTCATATATTTCACTTATAAATTTAGAAACCCAAGTTCAACAAAGTGAAAACATTGCTACTGATACAAATTTGATTCCTGAGCTTTAAGAATAGGTTAGTGTCATATATACCAAGACTTAATCAAAGAGATGAAATAAAAAAGGAAGGACAATCTCAATGCTTCACTTACATATCCATTTCACAATTTTTCCATAAGTCATATGGTTGATATTGTGTGTCTAATACAGGTGATTCCAGACCATATTGTCCCTCCGGAGTTATTCTTGCCATATATACCTGGACATGTGAGAGATGCTGATGGGAAGCAGTCATCATATATCACAATGTAAGGCTTCATTTCTGTTTTGAAATTTCTCAAGATTGATGATAGATATTGGAATAGAGAAGAAAAAAATCTGACTGGGCTAGAGGAAATTTATATTGTATCTAGATATGTAATTGCTTATGTAGCTACCCTCCCTAATAAGGACTGAAAACCACTCAGTGACATAAACTAATAACAGGATTATCAAAATACAATCTTTTACTAACTTTAGAGAAATCATCTATATGTATAGTGTAGAGCTATTAAGGATCTTATACAATATTTCCTGTAGGTAGTATTGTTTGGTGTTTCTGCTTCTTTCTCTCTAGTTGTTACCTTTTCTGAGTGGATTTGAATCGTTGTTCGGGGAAATTGTTACACATCAGTAACATTAGTGCATTATTCTTATCCTACACATTATAACTCCTTCATCACGTAAGCAGAGTGAAACTGATATTATATAGGATACACTAACATATATTGAAGGGAATTGAAAGTATATTATTTCCAGCATTGCCATTTGGAACACAATGATGGGGACCTCACTCATGACAATGCCATGGGCCTTTGGGCAAGCAGGCTTTGTGGGTGGCATAATCATCATGCTGGGAATGGCTGGGATTGCACTGTACACTGCCATTCGCTTGCTTACATTGCAGAAGACTATGGGTGAGCATGTTGTATCCATGTACTTTTTTTTTTTTTTTTTTCTTCCTTTCTTTCTTTCTTTCTTTTTTACTTTTTATTAACACTATACTGATAAGGCATTTGGAAAAATAAATTTAGATTACAACATTCAGAACTAGATGATGTAATGTACCCATCATGATAAAAGAAATAAGAGAAAAAATTTACGTTTTGATATGGTTATTATCATCATGATTATTATTATTTCTTTTATGATTAAATTTTACAATCTTCCAGTTGGTTTCACAGTAGTGGCAGTTGTTTTGAGCTGATAAAATTTTGCATTAATTATATCCTCAACCTGTAACTCCATCCTGCCAATTTGTTCCCACAGGCTTAGAAGGCCCCTCACTAGAACTCAGCCGTCTCTGCTGGCAGCTTCTAGGAGGAACGCTAGGCAGACTAACGGAAGGCCTAACCGTCACTTTCTCCGTAATAACTTTGGTGGGAGCTCAGGTTGTGTACTGGGTTCTTATGTCAAATTTCCTCTTTAACACTGGAGAGGTGATATATGGTAAGTTACCTTTCTTAATCTTTTATTGTGTACATATTTGTCTGAATTTGTGCTGTGCAGGGGAACATGAGGAAATATGTTTATATGTATATATTTATAGGATTTGTGCACATATATGTCTGTATTTGTGATGTAATGGGTAACATGGGGAAATGTGTCTATATGTATGTATATATTTATTGGATTTTTAAAAAAAATCCTTCTGATATTAGTATCTATGATTTCAGATACAATCCATGGTGAGATCCACAATGACTCATCCAGTGCAGTGCTTTGCCCGCCCAACATTACCAATGACGAAAACATTAAAGGCCCAGAACCCAGTGAGTTCCACAAATGGTGGCAACAAGACCTGACTGTGCCATTGTACTTACTCGTTCCCTTCGTCTTTGTGCTGAACCTTCGAGATGCCAAGATCTTCACCTATTTCAACTCTTTAGGTAATTTAAACTATTAATTGGTTGGAAATTATGTGTTTCTGGTATGTGTTACAGAGAAATCTGATTCTCAAATTTTGAAGTTTAATATTTAAAGATGGTTTCATTTTTCATTTGCAGGTGCCATCTCTGTGTTAGTCATGTACCTGTTTGTAATCAGTAAAGCTGCAACGTGGGGAATTAACATTAATTTTACTGATGTCACCAGTGATTTTTATGTGCCCCTGTTCAAGGTAAGAATTTGTGTATTCAAAATAAAGATTTCCATTAGTGTTGATTACTAATTGTGTTTGCTTTTATCTCTTACTTATTCTGAAATAAACTTTTCACTGACAGTTTTAGCTGTTTTCTCCTGAATAAAAGATTGAAAATGATATGTTAATCTATTGCATTGGGGATTGCACACAAACCCCTGTTGAAGTGCATAGAGACCAAGTCCTCACATGCTAGTCCAACCTATCTCACTTGTTTACCCTTTTCCTTGATTTTTGGAAATACTCTTTCTTATTTTATATTTGTATGAATGTTGTTAATAGCATTATAATAATTGTAATGTCAATGATAACAATATCAACATTTATATTAATAGCATAAGAAAAAAAGAAAAAAATCATAAACACTCAAGTTGAAACCAGGTGAGGTCATATACATGTACTAATTGACTCCTTGTGAACACTTGTGGAACTAAAAACAACGCTACAGTGAACATAAATCTTCTGGGTGGCATACTGTATATTGTACAAAATTTTGATGGTTTAATTTTCTCTCTTACATACATCAAAGCAATTTTGAAATGACATGAGTTAAATGCTCCAATGTATTAGTCTCTTTTGCAATATAATTCATATTTTTTTCATTGCCTTGTACTCCTAGTGCAGCATCTCTCTGTGTCAGTAGATTTTTCTCTTTATTTATATGATTATCACAGCCCTTTCTTGTTTATTTTCTCGAGAAGGAAATAAAAAGTGTCTTGTATTTTTACTTTGCAGAGCTCATTCATGTGTCTGACCGGAACATTATCGCTTGCTTACTTCATTCATAACTGTGTTGTTACTATCATGCAAGGTAACAGACACCAGGAAAACAATGTAAGTGGGAAATATGTCTTTATATTACAGTTTTGTTTTTGTGTTAGTTTTAGAGGATAATTGGATTAATCCTATTTTCCTGGAGTTTTTTTTTTTTTTTTTTTCTTTTTTTCCTGTATTCATTTTTAAATCTATTTCTTTGTCTTAGTGGCATAAAATTAGTACCTCACCTTTATATTACTTAAGTTAATTAATGAGCAGTATTGCATTTTATTTTAAGATAGTGAAACAAAATTCATTTGTTTGATACTTTCAATAAAAAAAAGTATTTAGGCTCATTCCACTCAGAGCAATTGAGAAAGATGGAAATGAGACTTGATAATTATGTGACAAAAACATTTTTATTATCAGTAACATTACATTTGAAGAAGTCTGACAAAAGGATTCACACATTGAAATAGAAGAGATTCATTGAATTACTAAAAATGATATAGTCAGTGTGAAGATATATTGCTGTAGTTCATTCACTCAAGTTCACTGAGGTTCAAGTCAGATATCTTAATACCTTTACATAATTACAGGTTCGCGACCTGAGTATTGCCTACATCCTCGTAGCTCTGACATACATTCCAATTGGTGTTCTCTTCTACTCTGCATTCCCCATGCCTAAGTATTGTGTAGTTGATGTAAGTTCTTTGAGTAACTTGCAGTTACTTCTTTAATCTTCTTATAGAATGTTCAGAATTGATACTGTATATAAATGTTTATAACTGTCTGTGTATATATATATTTTTTTTCTTTCTTTCTTTCTTTCTTTCTTTTTACATTGATTTTATTGTCTTCATGTGTAATTTTCTAGTTTAGAAGCAGGCAGTTAGGGCAACACTTTCTGCAGTGTCTTTGCATGAAATTAAAATCTATGATGTAGAGGTGCTCTTCATATTAATGTATTTAATTAAGCCTTTATATTGCCTAAGAATATAGTATAGAAAGGTAATTTGTTAAAAAAAGTATCCTTTTAAGGTCAGATTTTTACTGCAGTGACAGCAGAACTTTCTTTACAAATACCTTATATTTTTCCGTATCCTCTTTCAGAATTTCTTGGACAACTTTCCCCCACATGACGTGGTTCTGGCTGTTGTGCGTGGCTTCCTGTTCTTCCAGATCTTGACTGTGTATCCCTTGTTAGGGTTCTTTATCCGAAATCAGCTGTTCACATACTTCATGGGACCATCATATGAGTACAGGCTTTGGCAGGTGTTCTTACTAAACACATGTCTTCTGACAATGTCTGTGTTGGTGGCTATCTTCTACCCAAATATTGGATTCATTATCAGGTAGGTTTTTCTTTTTTATATCCCTTCATTCATTCAATCTAAAGTTTTCCTTTTTTTCTTTCTTTCTTTCTCACTCTCTAATATTTTTCCAGCTCAATTATCATAGATTATATGTTTGCATTTATTATTTGTGGAGTTCTTTGTGTCCCATTCTTCCATTGTTCAATGCGCCAAAGAAAGTTGACATGCTTAGCCATAAGTGGTCCCCCTTTTTTGTAAACCTTCTGTCCTGGAATCTTTGTTGACCCTTTGTGATGGAAATTTTATTGACTCTGTGCTGGAATTTTTGTCGACTTTGTGCTGGGATCGGATGATATACTTGCCATATCCGCTGTTATTTTAATTTGGTGTTTGTCTGTACACATAGATGACTACAAGTACTTAGTTGCCAAGGAGTCAGGTACTACTAGGCCTACTTGTTTCAGGACTTGTTTATTCATTTCCTTGATTTTTGGAAAGATTATTTTTCTATTGCAATTAGCATTTTGATAACATTATTAATTCATAAGGCCAATAATAATAATGACTATATTTTTGTGGTATTATAAAACAAAAGAATAGAAAAATAAGGAATAGGGAAATCAGGTATGTTGAGCTCTTAATTGATTCTTTAGTAATTAGTGCATAACTTATTCAGTATCCAAGGCACAGTTTCAAATGATAGTGTAGATGTACTCTCATAACTATTGCATGAGACAGGTAAATTTACAATGAATGCATTTTGTTGTGTATACAGACAATCTTGATTAACCATCCCCCCTTATCCTCATAAAATGTCTATCCTCAAAGTAGAAAAATATAGATAAAATCCAATCAGGCCTTGAACCTGGGTCATCACAGCTATACAACTGTCTTATGAAGAAGATATATCTTTTAGAAAAATAAATATATATATATATAGCTATTTGTTATATATCTTGTAATTTGAAGTTACCAATTTTCATTTTTATCTTTTCTACATGAAGTTGTTGGTAGTTACAAGTGAGGGGAATATTTGCCTGTTTTTCTTACCAGGCACTTCTTAAACCGTCAAAGCTTAAAAGGAAAAAAAAAGTTATCATTATGAAATTGTATATGATATTGGCATTCAGAAATACCAGCATTTCTCTGTGTATTATGTAAAGCTAAATTATAAATTGATAGCATTTCACACAGTAGCATTGCATTTTTGATAAAAGTTGGAAGCAAATTTCCAGGTAGATCAATATTAGTTAATTTTAGACATGATAATATAAAATGTGAAAAGAGAGGCATATCCTAATTATCTTGAACCTCCATTTCATTACCATGTAACTCCTGAAGAAGTATTTGCATTCTTTTACTATCCCTTAATTATTGCAAGATTTCCAGGTCAAGGCTTTTTCACTGAAATGCCTCTTTCTTTCCACAGATGGGTTGGTGCAATATCTGGCTTAGCTTATATCTTCATGTTGCCATGCGCGACGTACATGTATGCTCTCTACACTCAAGACAAGCTCCAGTGGTATCATTGCATAATTCACTTTGCAATTATTTTCATTGGCATTGGCAATTTCATATCCCAATTTTTGCTGGGTTAATTAAGACTTGATTCTGTTTCAATAATTTTGTTTTTTTATTTTTGTAGTGTTGTTTGTTTGTTATTAGTTATTATTATCATTATTATTATTATTATTATTGTTATTATTATTATTATTATTATTATTATTATTATTATATTATTATTATTATTATTATTATTATTATCATTATCATCATTACTGTTATATTTCAGGTCTTTCTTATCATTTGTATCTGTACTGTGGTAATTCAGATACTATGAACTTATAATGCCCAAAACATTTTTCTATGGCAAAGTATGGATGAACTGTACATTTCAGAGGATTCTGAGCAGATGTTTAATGTGATGTTTTAACTAGAGAAGTGAACTGTTTTTGTCACCAGCTAGGAGTGGTTGGGGAGTGATGGCTGGTTCAACACTCTTTGTCTTTGCAAATACCAACAGGTCAGGAGGAGTAGAAATAGGATTCAAAGGCTTCATCTACCCTAGGATATAGTCATGCCCTTCCCTGGGCATAGGAATCTAAAGCTACCACTATTGCCACAAATGGCACAGACACGAGGCTAGAGCCATGGTTTTGGCAGTGTTTGCAGTTAGTTATCAATGATTACCTGTAAATCATGATGTAAGAATTTGCACAGAATTGTAAGACATGTAATAGCTTAGCAAAATTTAAGTGAAGTCCATATATTGTTATGTTTGACAAACAAGTTGCAGATATCTTAATCTGAAGGCTAGGTAAACAGTAATGGTGGTAACTATGTAGGAATCTGAGTCTTGCCTTAGTATTTGTAAAACGCAGATAACGGTGGCACCACGTGCGGGCACTTCCTTGCCACCACAAAGATTTTCATGATTGTGCTTTAGGTTGTAATTACCCGTGGAGATAAATTGCTATGGAACTTTATATTCAGGGTTTATATATTAGCATAAGGATCAGTGCATCAAGATCAGGTGATTTTTTTCTCCATGCTTGTTTGAATTGAGTGAGAAAAACAAATCTTTAAAAGTGTATCCCATAAGTGATGTAGTTGAATTTACTATGGTAGAGATGCATAAGTGATCAATCAGAACTGCACTGTAGGTTGTAATGGGGGAAGCTTGGAAGAAAGGATGTTTGTTCCTGTATTAAGGATGACATTGTCATTTATGTATCTACAGATATGAGTGGCAATGCAAAGAAAGTAAATTTAATTGACTTAATTTTTATTTGCAGTGGCTATTTAAATAGTATGAATACTTGTAAAGTTAACATTGTGCATCTTGCAGTGCTCATGTGTAAATGACAAGACGTGACAGGATAGCATGTCATTCTATATACTCTATACTGTTGCGCTGAGAAGAAGCAGAGCCTTATCCAATAGTATATAAAAGTGTCCAACATCCCCTGTAGTGATGGTAGAGAGATGACATTATAATATTTTATTTTAACTTTTAGAATGAGAAAGATTATCATAACAAGATGAAGAGGTACTCCCTGCTTCTAGTCAGTCATATATTATAATAGTCACAAACTAAGAATAGCAATCACTTGAAATTATATTTGGCCTTGTTGTTATAGATATTAGTGTATATTTATACAGATTTTTATTTTTATGTAATGTGTACCATGGGTGCATCAATTATACTTCTTTGTAACAATTTCAGATATTTGTAATACACTAAAAAGTGATACAAAAACCTTCCAAGAATATTGATGTTATACACTAAAAAGTTTTTAAAAATTTTGTGAATATTAGCAGTCGAGGGTTTACCATATTCTTTTCTTTTTTTATATATCTGAGCAGTATCCAAAGAAATTCCATAAGCTATTATTCAGATAGTATTAGGTGTTGTGATTAGATTACTACATTTTGATATTTATATATATGTATATATATGAATGTATTGCTAAATCTATCAGTTTTTTTTTCTTTTCTTTTCTTTTCTTTTCTTTTCTTTTCTTTGAACTCTGCCTATCATTTGAATGGTAAGGTTAAGAATACTTCAGATCAAAAATATTTTTATATATATCTAAGGAGAAAAGTCGTCTTGGATCAAGTGCTCAAAGTATTATCCCTGTTGTACTTCACATAGGTTCTGTACCTTAATTAAGAGGAGAGACATATGGCAGATAAGTGTGAATGGCACCTGTGAACTCAGTGGTATAATGTAGTAACATGTCCAACAACACAAGCATTTAAGTAGTCAGTGTCGCTGTAGTATTTAATGGAGAATTCATGCAGTACCATAGTAAACTTTCTCAGCGATTTTTATATAATGGTTTCTTTTGGTTCATTATACAATACTTTCATATTATAAATGTAGGCTTTGTTTTTACTATGCAAAAAAAGTATGTCTTATTAGGTATCCCTAGCCTGAAAGTTTTCTTCATTAATGTTTCCGAGTATTTTAACATTCAGTGAATATCTATAGCAGTTTGATACCTGTAAAAGTATTTTAAAAGAACGTGAATTTTTTTTTCATTTGAATTGATCTTGATAATTTATTGAAAGTGAATATTTTGCCCTTTCAACACTGATGATTAATCTATGATAGTAAATTTGATTTATGGTCCGCTGTAGAAAGGAATTATTGACTGACATAATGAAAATTTTGTAATTTGAAGAGGTGATGATACATTCTCACACATGTTATTTGTATTGACCATGTAAACAATGTGAGCATTAGATATATAGAAAAGTACTGTATCCTTTATTTTTTGCATGATAGCTGTATGTTCCATCCCAGTATGATACAGGAATCTCAAATTTTATTTGTAAAATATGTGATTTAGAAGGCTGTTTTGTGTAAGTAGATTTAAGAGAAGATGAAATGTGATTTTGTGCCTTTATGTTATATGTAAATCAGGAAATCTTGAATCTTGGTATACGTCAAAAGAAATATATATATACATAAATATATATGTATATATGTAACAAGTAGAGAATTCTTGTGCCGGGGATACAGATTCAATTTTTATCAATCTAATGTATCTTTTTCCCAGTAAATGTGCTGTAATTGATGATAATCCTGCATAATATATGTTGCACTGCTGTCCACCATATCCATTGTAAAAGCTTCAAAGGAAATAAGTGGCCTTGTGTTGCAAGTGATTGTGTGGTAATTGTGATATATCAAATATTGTAGAATTACTTTACAACTGAAGTAGACAATTGATGTACACAAAAATAGACTCAAATTCAGGACAGGGAATTATCTTGATTTGAAAAGATATTCAGTTAGTTTTTGTTCAGTTGATTTTTTTTCATATGAAGCACAACTTTTCATTTACAATAATTTGATTATTTAGACAATAGACAGAACACCCTATATAAGAGAATGTGGAGGATTTGTTTCTTACTTGTTTAAAGTGGTGTCCATTTTCACTTTATGTAATAATACATTTATGGTATTTATTTGTTAATCTAAGAATTTTAGGTTCAGAGGACCTATGTCTCTTGAGTCCTTGTTTTAATAACATAAGCCAAGA